GCCTAGAGAAGAGCCCCAAGGAGAATATGTAAATCTAGGGTCAAGCTGGGCCTCAATAAGAGATTAAATGTAAAGATTTAAAATTGTTAATATAAAATACAGAATAAAAAGAAAGACAAAAGTCACAGGACATTTGCATATACCCTGCAATATTCTGTGTTTCTATGTGTGTTATGTTTTTGTTTTTATGTATAAGCCCTGTTTTAAAATTATGGTTTCTTAAAGTTAGTGAAACAGTCTATAAACAACTTGATAAAACAGTACTAAATATTGAAACCCAACAATTTTCTGAGTTAATTTTGGTGCACGCTAAGGAGAACATTATGCTGCAATATGAGCATATGTTGGGGTTTGGGAAGGAATTGATACTTAACTCTTCCACATGAAAATACCCAATTGGGTGAGGCACATTTTGACAGATCTCACAAAAGGGCCATGATTTCAAGCTTAAACTTTTTCTTTGCCATTCTTTTCTGGTTTATTAACACACTTGGTGGGGGAGGGGATTGGCAAGTTCACTGAGTGCCAGAAAACTCATGGTTGAGTGTCAAATGTTCATGTTGCTTTTTGAGTCAGAGGGGTCCCTGTAATCTCTTCTGAAACCCCAACAATGAACTGAAATAGAGATTACTTTAGTTAGCATACTTCAAGGCAGCCAAGCTAAAAGTTATTTGGAACTTTGTCTTATCTGTAAGATTTGCTCTTCGCTGAACCTACAATAATTAGAGATCATCACTCTGGAGCCATAGTTGAGCTAACGGAACACAGCAAGGAGCAGAGTGCTACTTCTGGCTTTTCATTTTCAGAAGCGCTGTCAGAGCTAATCGTTAAGTAGAAAAAGCACATGATTTCAATTAGTTTCTAGGGGATAGCAACCTGGAAACTAATTTATATGATACCTTGAAGTCTCAAATTGTTCTTAGGTACCACAACCATGGAAGTTGAAGAAACCATTAACTTTATCACCATCTTTTATGTATCTTCTGAGCTACAGCCAGAAAGATATACACATAACACACACAATTTGTTGAAGAAATGAGAGGGTCCAGGGCATTTTGATGATCCTGACAATTTGTGTTCAGGTATTTTGAGATTCCATTTCTTAGAGAACTATTTTTGATATAGATAACTGGATGCAGACAACAGAAATTCAATAATACTATTATTTTGGGAGGTGTATAAAATAAAAGGGGTAAAGAAGATGTTAATACAGGGGTGTCTGAGTGGCTCAGTCGGTTAAACGTCTGCCTTTGGCTCAGGTCACGATCCCAGGGTCCTGGGATCAAGCCCCATATTGGGCTCTGGGCTCAGGAGGAAGCCTGCTTCTCCCTCTCCCACTGCCTGCCTACTTGTGATCTCTCTCTCTGTGTGTCAAATAAATAAAATCTTAAAAAAAGAAAAGATGTTAATACATATCTCAGTCATATGCTTCTTCGATTCCCTATCCCTTATTCTGTTATATAGAAGTAACAAGTTTTCAGCTAAGTAGTACTAAACAGAAACCTTTATGATTACCATAGGGCCTCACCAGTCTTCCATTATAAGACCACATAATTTAGGACTTTAGTATGCTCATGGGATCACCCCAAAAATAGGGGCACAAGCAAGGTATCCAGCATTCCACCAGCCTTGAATTTTCTTTTAAACTACCCCTCTATCATGGATTCTTCCTTTGGTTTGTTAGACCTTTCCATGTCACTTTCTTGGACAAGCTCACATACAGTATCTGTATGTTGAATGAACTGGTCTCCTGGAATCAATTTGTCAGGTTAAGTCATGGTTAGATGTTACTCCTTCCTGGGGAAAAGTATTTCTGATAAGGATTCTTTTCCTGGTCCTTAAAATTCATCTTTTCTGAACTTTTCCAGGGGGTACACACCCCATGGCTCAAGCTTAATATCCCAGACTCAAATGCCCCTCTGACTCATTATTGCTACCTACTTTTTTTTTTTTTTTTTTGGTCACAAATAAAAGACAGAACCTTAGACCTGACTCCTAATTGTCCAATTATTCTCTTTATTTAAAATATTCTCTTGTGTGACCTTGGGAAAATCAACTTATTTCTGAGTCCTGTTGCCCCTTATTTCTAAAGTGCAATGACAAAATGTTGCTCTCACAAGTCTCTATATCACTATCAAATGATAGTGCTAAGGAAGTAAAGATGAAATATGGTATGCATTACCAGAGTGAGGGAATATCAAATCTAGAAACCAAAATACCTTTGAGGAGTCAGTCTGAAGCTGATAAGATTAGACATCTCCCAATTTCCATAATCAATAATCAATAAGCATCAATCAGAATGCAACACTGCCCTCCCTACTCCCTTCCCATCTATCTGTAGCATTTCCTTAGTAGAAAAACTAAGGGAACCCCAGCTATTTGTCCTTTGATGTATAGCTGTGCGGAAGATTTCTCTCTGGCAACTACACTGTTACAGTCACTAAATATAAAGTTCTTCAGATCATTGAGATGACATAGATAATTAATTCAGAAGAAGCCTCATGAGAAACATGCATAAGGCAGAAGAACCTCTACAATATGCTTCTGAGAACTTTCATTGTCAAAGTGATAAAACCACAGGAATTTTTCAACATTTTCATTTGGTAAGGGAGCATAGTCTCTGGGTATTCACTAGTCTGTGAATCTGTGCTATTAATAATTACTAAATGTTTCCAGCATGTAGAAGGAGATGGACTTGGAGAAACCATTTGAAAGAGCAAGAAAAATCCACATGGTAGAATTTAACATAACAAAAGAGTAATGTGTTGATCTAGTCTTCTGTGGTCTTTTCTGGAGGATGTTCAAGGGTATTGCCAGAAATTGCATTTGAACTATATTCAGGCTCATTGGAGGATCCATTTTTTAGAATATTTTTGAAGCAGCTAGCAATTTCCTTGCCCAAAGCCATTTTAAACTTACCTTTCTGGGGTGCCTGGTGGCTCAGTCAATTAAGCGTCTACTTTCGGCTCAGGTCATGATCTTGGAGTCCTGGGATTGAGCCCTGATGTTACGCTCCCTGTTCAGCGGAGAGTCTGTTTCTCCCTCTCCCTCTGCTCCTTCCCCCTGTTCATGCTCTCTCTCTCTTAAATAAATCTTAAAAAAAAAAAAAAAAATAAGCTTCCCTTCCTTTTCCACCATGGACAACCATAGCCAACTCATCAAGGGACAGAAAATGGAGCAGGTAGTGGTTGTTGCCTCAGAGGAAGCATCGACATGAGCAAATACAAATGCAGACACAGAAAACTTGGATGAAGGAGATAGAGCAGAATCTCACAGCTGTAACAAGCACTTTGCAGAGCTCATGGGAAAGAAAGAAAATGAGCTTTTTGTAGAAATCAATTAATTAAAGCTCAGTAGTCAGAGTATTTTTTTTTTTTAAGATTTTATTCATCTATATGACAGAGAGCACATGCACATGAGGGGGGAGTGATGTGGTTTTAGAATATAGGTGAGGTTCGGTGGGTTGAGGTCCAGAGCCAATGACCAAGAAAGAATTCTTGAGACGTCTTTGGTGCCAAAGGTGGTTTTGTTAAAACATGGTGACAGGACCCATGGGCAGAAAGAGGTGCGGCACCTGTGTTGTGAGTGGGGGAGGTAAGGAAAAGGGAGGTTTTCAAAAGACCTTTCATATGTTAAAGACTGACAGGATACTAGAGACCTTGCCATTGTCAAGTTAAGGTTGTCCACTCCCCCCCCCCCCCCCCGCAAGGAATTAACATTAAGATAGTTGGGAGCTTCCTGGAGAAATGTCACACATATCCCACCCAACAGTTGTGGGGTTGTCAGCATGTGCTTTGTCTTCAGCTAGGCTTCTGCTCCTTCATCAGGGGGAGGGGCAAAGGGAGAAGGAGAAGGGGAGGCAGACTCCCCACTGAGGGTGGAGCCCAACACAGTGCTTGATCCTAGGACAGATCATGACCTGAGCCAAAGTAGACACTTAACCTACTGAGCCACCCAGGCGCCCCCGGAGTATTCTTATAACAAGGGCAACGTATTAGGGTTTTTCAGAAAAGCAGAACCAAAAGAGAATGAATCTCTTACTTTTCTTCTGTTTTATGTATATTTATACATATAAATGTTTCTCAAATATTTGGTTATATATATTACGTTATTACATTTTATTTATTGTATTATATTATTATATTTATACATTTGTAAAATAAAATATTTATTTACATATTTTTTGTGAAGAATTGGCTTATGTGATTATGGAGGCTGTGAAATCCCATGATCTTTTGTCTGCAGCTAGAGATCCAGGAAAACTGGTGGTTTACTTCTAGTGTGAGTCCAAAAACCTGAGCACCTCCCAGCAGATGGTGCAAGTCCTAGTCCATGGTTAGAAGACCAGTATCCTGGCTCAAGTATCAAGTACAAAGAATGTATTTGTCCTTTCTTCAGCATCTCCTTCCATTCACGCCCTCAGTGAATAGATAGGATGATGCCCACTAACACTTAGTCTCCCAGTTCAAATGCTAATTTCAATATTTAAATTATTTCTAGAGGTGCAGGGATTGTATATGAAGAATGGGTCTTAAAGTTTATATGCCACTAAGAATGACCTGGGAGATTTGTTTTAAAATGCAAACACCTGGGTGGCTCACTTGGTTAGTTAAGAATCTGACTCTAGATTTAGGCTCGGGTCATGATCTCAGGGTTCTGAGATTGAGCCCCGAGTTGGGTGTGGAGCCTGCTTAAGATTCTCTCTCTAGGTCCCTACCCCACACCCCCACTCTCTCTCTTAAAAAAAATAAAAAAAAATGCAAACACCCTGGCCAGACCACTAGAGACTTAGGTGTTAGTTTGGTAGGCAAATGTTGGCTGCTTTGCCATTATTTAGTTCCCTATTCTTTAAGCAATGCCACCTATAGTTAATTTTAAGGGACCCACCCTACCCTCAGCCAGGCAGCTTGTTTGGAATTGACCTCATGGTTAATTCTACACTGGTGCATGGATGGATATACATCCCTAATATGAAACAATGCTCACGAGTGCTGCTGGAAAATAACTTTACTTGCTTTTTCATTGAAACCCTCTGCTCTTTGAATGATGAGATCTGGAACTCTTGCATCTCTTATAGCCACTCGTGAGGAGTTGACCTAAGGATAAAACCATGTTCATGAGCTTACTATGTGCATTTAGAATGAAAAATAATATATGGGATACATTTATGTTGAACATTTTAGGAATACATATATTTTGCAATGAGCACTATACCCAAATTCCCTTGATTTATTCTAAAGTGAATCTTATGCTGCTAGTATTTGATGTTGGAGTAGAAGGAAAGAAAAAAAGTACGTATGTGCTGTGACTAAACCCCTCAAAATAGTTTATATTATGTTAGTACTTGACACTATGCTTATGCTTATATTGAAAAAATATGTTTGTGCCTATCAAATGTGTTTTATTTTTTAACACATTTTCATATACATCAAAGTAGGATTTTGAACTAATGTTCATTACCAGGATCGAATCCCTGAGTTCAGTTCCACTTTATATCTCACTCTGAAGAAATACAGAGCTTAAATAAGACAGGACTCAGAGGTCAGTCATTCTATTAAAATGAAAAGTACAAAAATCTCTTCTGCATGTGATCCAATGATATTAAACTGGCATGGTATAATTGACCCTTTGGTACAATTTTAAAACATTTTTTTTTTTATCACTGATAGGCAAATACTGCAAGAAACTTAGAGGACCTTCTTTAAACATGTTATCAAAATTGTGAAGACATTTTTGACCTCAATTCAACCAGTTCTAAATCAATGAGCTCTCTTTCACATTTAGTAATTTTAATTATTAAATCTGCTAATTTCTAGACATCCCTATGAATTTGTTTGAAAATAGGTCCATTAATTAATATTTTCTACTCTGTGCTAAGAATGTAAAGGTAAATGTAAAACAAGATTTTATTGCACCATAGGTATACTATGAAATGCAAGCATGTCCTCTAACACTGTGTTGTGCTGCAGAGACAAAAAATAAATAAAAAGTGATATGTATACCTTTAATGGGAACTACAATTAAGAATTATCATTTTTGATGGTCCGATGTATGCAAGTTACTAGTAAGATGTATAGCCACCATACTCATTGCAGTTTGTTTATAAGACACAATTGATTCCAAGTTTTAAAGGACCAAGTTATAAACAAACTTTTCTCACATTATGTGTAATTCAAGGACAGCTTTACTGGGAAAGATTTGGCATACAGGGATCTCAAGAAAGCCTGAATGAATAATCTATCTCTCATGGTTTTTTTGCTTCCTTGACAAATCTCTACAAAATCTTTGCAAGAGGTCAGTGAATTGGGGGTCATTTTTATGGCCCTTAATATTAGGTCTCCCACCCCAGCTCCCTTGCCAAGATTTCCCAGAGATGTTCCTGAATATTCATTCCCTCAAACAATAACTCCTGTTTTTTTTAATTAATTAATTTATTTTACCCATGGGAGCTGGGCAATGCAGCAAAAAGCTATTCCTCACTGTAATGTAGGGACTCTAGAAGCAAACTTGATTCAGAAGTTATCAATTTTTTTGATCCTTCTTTTTGGATATATGACCTTGGATAAATCACTGAAGTCTCTAGTCCTTGGTGTCCTCATTTGTAAGGTAGAAATCATTACCTATGGAACCTACTTCAGAGGGGTGTACATTCTGAGGGTACAATTTTACAGATAACAGCTTACATTACTGCAGCTCTGCCTCTGGCCATAATTTCTCTCCAAATGGTGTGTTTCTTTTCTTCTTATATGAGGATGTACATGGAAGACAACTCTCAGAGATATCCCTCTTGCAGTATAAAAAGACAAAATATAAGAGGAAAGAATAGTGTTGGCACTGTGAAGATTAATTTTATTATCTTTACCTAGGAGTTAAGAGCAAGTGGCAGCCAGAGTGGTTTGTGGTGGAATACTCAGACTCTGTAATCAGATAGACCAAGACTTGACATTGAATAAGTTACCTACCTTGTTAAGCCTCATTGGAATTCCTCTGCAGAATGAGTTGGTGATAGCATCTATATCCTAGTGGAAGCGTATTAAATGAGATTATTCTTGGCCCCATGTCTGACATAGAAATGCTCTCAAAGTTTTGTTGTTGATCTTCTATTTTGTTGTTGTTGTTGTTGTTGTTGTTAAGCTTATCTGTTACTATCAGGAGTATTGTTAGCTTATACTTAATAAGTACTGTGTGCACTTACCCAGAAGAGCTCTATAGAGTTGTCCAGGTGAGAAGCAACCCAACAGCATGTCAGCATCAATAATTAGATATACTTATCTTTTGATTTGGGGCTCATATTTGGAAGCTGTTTTTGTTTTATCTGTTCATGATGATCTAATTCATAAGGGCTACCTCTCCCCATGGAGAGTCACATGAGTACCTCATGCCTTACTTTCAACTACTTTGGAGGATAATTAAAAGTTACTTTGAAGCATCTTATTCACCCAGACCTTACAAAGTGAAATCGTATGTATGCCACCTAGTCTGTATTTTAAGTCAACCCCAAATATACCTTTAACATAAGGTGGTATAGTATGGACATAAAGGTAGAAATGTGCCTTTACTTATTTAGTTCAGGGCTCTGCCTACTAGAAGATACCCCTTTTTCTGCTCCATGAATGTGGACAGTCCTATTCTGTGGTCCCCAGAGCTAAGAGATCAGAGTACTTCCTTAGAAGGGGCTGAGGAGCTCTGGAATAAGTCATATTAACTGCTTGGTCATTGGACTCTATTCCTGCTCTCTGTTTAATCTCTTCCTTTTTAGAAGACCACCCCCAAGAGGACAAAAATTGATTCTTAGGGCCAAAACATCTTAGATATTAGGAAGTCCTATGGATCTCCCTAGGGTCAAAGAAGGGACCCTTACATGGGTAATGAAAATAGGATTGATAAATACTGCCTAAGACTACTAAAGTCTTCAAAATGATTCATCTGTACTATCTTATCCAAACATATTTTAAAACAACTGAGAGAAAAGCAAATGGTAATCTGTTAGGGACTGAATCACATCCCTGCAAAATTTGTATATTGAAGCCTTAACCTTCGGCACTTTAGAATGTGACTGTATTTGGAGATAGGGCCTTTAAAGCACTGGTTTTTGTTTGTTTAGGATTTTATTTATTTGACAGAGAGAGTGAGAGAGCACAAGCAGGGGGAGGAGCAGAGGGAGAGGGAGAAGCAGGCTCCCCACTGAGCAGGGAGCCCGATGTGGGGCTCGATCCCAGGATCCCAGGATCATGACCTGAGCTGAAGGCTGACAGACGCTTAACCGACTGCGCCACTCAGGTGCCCTAAAGCACTGTTTAAAGTTAAATGAGGTCAAAAGAGTAGAGCCCTAACTCAAAAGGACTGGTTTCCTTTTAAGAAGAGAGAGAGATACCAGGAATATGCATTCTCAGGGAAAAGGCCAGGTGAGGTCACAGGGAAAGGTGGCCGGCCATCTGTAGGCCAAGGAGAGAGGGCCCAAGAAAAACCAAACCTTCCAACACCTTGATCTTTGACTTGCAGCCTTCAGAACAGTGAGAAAATACAATCTGGTTGTTTAAGTCACCCAGTGTGGCATTTTATTATGACAGCCACATCAAACTAATATAGAGCCAAAATACCAATTTTATATTAAACATTGCCAGAAAGCCGACTTCCAGTATTGAAACTCAGAAGCACCTAGTCACAAGAAGTAATGTAAAATTGCCTATTTCCCTGTGTGAAGGCTTCAGTGTAGAAATTTTAGCAGGGTACAGAAGGAAAACGTATGCTGTGTGATAAGGACTGAAATAACTTTCAGGAGGTATGTGGCTAAAGTGACTAGGCTATGTATGTCCCATTTCCTCTTCTATATGCATCAATCAAATTCAGTAAATTCTCCACTCATGCAAAGAAGTGAATGAGGAATACAAAGAGGTCAGAAATGTGAAATTACTGGAGCTCCTTCACATGAAGGAAACAGTAACCAACTCTATCACCAGTCTAGCAACTATGAGGCAGGGCGCATTAGCATTCTCTACATAGATCTGAAACAACTGAACCCAAGCACTGGGGTATCAGGAGGAATTAGCCTTTTTGCTATTTTACCTGTGTGGCTGAAAATAAGTAGCCAGGTAAAAGACTAAAAGTCATGAACTAAAAATCAGCTAGGTTAAAATGAATAATGAGTGAGATAATAATGATTCTACTACTAATAATAATAATGGCAGCTAAGGTATATTGCTTATTTGCAATAAGTCAAATGCTAGCCTAACTACTATGTACTTACATGCATTCTCTAATGCAGTTTATGCCATAACTCTATTATAGGTGCTATTATATTTTAGACATGAGGAAACAGCTTCAAAGTGATTAATTAACTTTCCTATGATCATTCAACTAGTATATAAGGAAGCTTGAATGAACATACCTAGGAGCAGGGAAATAAAAGACAATGTTCTTCCTCTCCTATTTTTGAGTGGCTGGAGTTTGACTTTTCCTGGATGGACTTCTATAGAATCTGTGGCTGGAATATAACTGAACCTCAGAGTCAGGGAACAGAAACTAGAAAAATAATCAACAGACTGGGAGAAATCAATCTGTGACATTATTGAATTAAAGGGATCAGAGGTAGACATAGCATAGAAATATGGAGGCGAGGATTTTGAGTCCAGAAGGTAAGAGAAATTATCCTATGAGGACAAGAGTGGATAGCTTATCAGTGGTGATTTCTTCAGATTGGGGCTGGTGATCATTACTTTTCTGACATTCAGGGATGAAAGATGGAGGAGACTGATCAGAGAGAGGCTAAATAGAAAGAGAAGGACCCAATGGAAACCTAAAGTCATACAAAAGCAAAAGAGTACAGTGAGATTATGGGCATCATGGGACTGCTCAAACACAGAGGACCCTCATCATAGCCAGGGTAGGTTTGAACACCTAACAATTTGACCTACAAGAATGGACATGCCAATTTTGACAATAATTTATACCTTATTTTTTTATCATCCTTATAACTGTCCCATGAAATATAACAATAATCATTAATGCATTTTACAAGAAAATAAACTGAGAAATGACTCATCTGAGGTTATACAGCAAGCAAGAAAAGCCAAGTGTCTGTTCTAAGAAATAAATAAATAAATAACAAAAACAAAAACGAAACAAAAAAACTGGGATGGTCATGTGTTAGGCACCTGCCGGACACTGTTGCTTTCCATTATCTTATAGAATAGTGGGCCCAAGGTTGTTCTATGGATATACCTGAATGATTAAGTTAACATGACTCATTGTTGTAAAGGACAAAATTTGGCAAGGACACTGCTTCTTACCTGTCTTCATTTTTCTCTCGAGGAAAAAGATGACATCAACTTGTAAGATGTTAATTTAGGTCAAATGAGATAATGGACTTGCATGTATCTTTCCCTGAAGACAAACATCATATTGTTGACTGGACAATAGTAGGAAAGCCTTTATCAATGACTTTGAAGCTTGGGTCTGCCATTTTGAATTGAGAGTCCCAACAAAAACAATTGGACCAACAGCCAGAAACATTCCAAATAAGGATGTTACATATTCTGTGACCCAAGATTCCATTCTCTAATGGGATATGCAGTGAGTTAGCCAAGGACTTGATTCTCAAGCAGCTCATGATCCAGGGTTATTTATGTAAAGACATCTGGGTCATGTTGCAGCCATGATGTACATTCCCAGATGTTTGCAGAATATCATTGGCAGCATCTTTTGAGCTATTGATAAAGGACAGGGCTGGTTCTTTTATTTTTTTAAAGATTTTAATTTAGTTATTAGAGGGATAGCGTAAGTGGGGGAAGGGCTGAGGGAGAGGGACACACAGAGTCCCCACTGAGCCAGGAGCCCAACTGAGCCACCCAGGGGCCCCTAGTCCTTTTCTCATTCTGTTGTTACTGACTTTAATTTGTGGGGAAGGCAGAATGCCTCCCATACCAAGGAAAACTGTTGCAATGTATATGTGTGACATTTGATCTTCAAACCTCCACTAATATTCTCAATTGTAACTGTAATAAGTTCTCCTGCCTCAGAGCTGCTTAAGGATCAAGAACAAAAAGGCAGAAATTCTCAAAATGAAGTTGACCTCTTGAAAAGTATGTTCTTATAATTGGCTTAGCTGCCTCTTCTTACTGCCCCCAATAACTCTGCCACAGTCTACCCAACCAGCACACTCTTCACTTTAATTAAGGTGGGGGAGGGGGGTAAGGGGGCTGAAGAAAGAGAGGAAGAGGGAAAGAGAGAAGGCAAACGAGATCCTGTGCTAGGTTCTAGCAGATCATTAAGGCTCCTATGCAGATAATTGTCAAATATGGGTGCTCTGTTAAGAATTCTGAGAGGGAGAGGGTCTGAGAAGCCTCTTTTTTTCTGAGTGGCTTTTTACCCCCTCAATTAGGTATAGCCTTATGGGCAGTGTTGACCATTTGCTTGGACTTCTACCTATAGAAACACCCCCTAGACTGGATAGTCCTGGCTTCCCATTTACCTGACTTCTGTTCATCGTGAAGTATCTTCCACAATGGTTATTGGATAAATCACTGGACTTTTCTTGACTCACCACCTTCACAGATTTTGTTTACTATTTCAGCTACTTTAATGACACATACTCTCTGCCCCAACTGTTATGCAACTATTTGCCTACTATTTTGGTTTATACAGTTCTCTTCTGTCACATTAGAAAGTTCACAGATATTTTCTAGAAATGTAAATGTATACATATATTTCCCTCATATAATTGTTACTGATAGGCATCAAATTATCCTCTGTCCAAAAAATGCAATATTTAAAAAACTTCTTGAACCAGTAGGAGAGATTTAAAATATTGTTTTAAGAAGAGATTGAGATTGCCCCCCACCCCCAACGACAAAATCTCTCCATTTCATCAATTGACCCAGGAAGAGAGACCATCTATATTTTCTTGGGTAAGATAAAATTTTTAGACTTTCCAGTATGTGATCTTTTTTCAAACAATTCAAGGAGGGAGTAGATTTATATTTAATACCCTTCTGTAGTCCTTCTGTTTTCCCATTTGAGTAAATTAGTTGTGTTTTTTTTTTTTTCCTTTTTTCCTACCTCTTCTTCGGTTAAATTTCCTTTGGATGTAATAACATTTTCTCTCCTCACTACCCCACCAGTCCATACCAAATACTCTCTACACATAGCTGTTCTTTTCCAATGTCCGTCTGAAAGTTTAAATGTCACATTTGCATTTCACTCAATGTTTAAAATACAAGAAGCTGAAAATGAAAAGAAACCATAGGACGGGGTCTTTCAGTGAATGGAAAATAGTAATAAATCCAGTGTACCGATCCCAGTTACGGGTGTTCAACCTTGAAGGACCCTTTCATTCATCCTGCTCAGTGGGAAACACTGACACAGTCCCCTCAATGGACCTGACGCCCATCTCTCTCTGTTCCCGGCAGTTTCTGGTGTGGAATGATCACAGTGTTGAGACATTTGCCTTCAGTTTGTCTTTGTATTCCCTAAGATGAAGACTTGTAGCAAAACGAAACCTAAATCTTTCTGTGACTGTACTGGACTTTAAAACTGTAAGGATAGGAGCGCCTGGGTGGCTCAGCTGGTTAAGCGACTGCCTTCGGCTCAGGTCATGATCCTGGGGTCCCGGGATCGAGTCCCGCATCAGGCTCCCTGCTCAGCGGGGAGTCTGCTTCTCCCTCTGACCCTCCCCCCCTCTCATGTGCTCTCTCTCTCTCATTCTCTCTCTCAAATAAATAAAATCTTTAAAAAAAATAAAACTGTAAGGATAGTAGGGATTTTGGTGGTAGGCTTGGATCAAGGGAGAACCATTTCTACCAGTTTCAAAAGCAGATACATTGCATTGGATAGTGCAGCAGTTTTCTTATCCTTCTCATGGAATTAGAAAAATTATTTGTCATTGAAAAATATATGCCAGCACTGAGAAGAAAGCAGGTTGTTTCACAGAAGATACTTTACAAAGAATGTGTCTTTAGAGGCAGATAAACCTGGATTCAAATATTGTCTCTATCACTTGGTGGCGGAGTGACTCTGGGATGCAGCTTTTCTAAGCCACGGTGGTTTTTTTGTCTGTAGAACAGTCATGGTAACATTCCCTTCAAGCTTTGATGTAAGGATCAGATGATGGGACATATGTAAGTTATTCTAAACCACATCGGGTAATTGTTAACATTCGGTGCATTTGTTACTATTGCTATTATTGCAAATAATACTTTTTACTAATATTAGTAAGCTAATGCCTTTTTTGTGTCTACTTCTGTCTCTATTATGAGAGTCACTCAAATGGATATCTTGTTCCATGGAAGTATCAACTTTGCAGGAGATACATACACACACACACACACACACACACACACATATACATACATATATATACATATATATACACACATATAATTTATCCTATATATAATTACTTATATATAATATTTATATTTTCTTAAGTATATTTATATATATTTATATATTTGTACATATTCTTAATATATATATATATTCTTCAGTGGACTTTAGGCTCAGAAAAGATTTAGGGAGTAAAGTTAATTGAGTATTTCAACAAGTACTGATTGGAGAGTCCTAGTCCGTGTCTCATATTCTAAAGGTTGCACATTCAGTAACAAACAAGGTGAATGAATTTTCTAGAACTTAAATTCTAGGGGAGAAAGAAAAAAAATAAACAGATACACAATCAAATCAGATAATTTTACAGAGTGGTATGTGTTACATAGAAAGTAAAAAAAAAAGAAGCATCTGACAGTTGGGGGAGATAATCTGGATTGTGTGGTCAGGGACAGGAGCAGTTTCACACTTTAGATGATTCTGAGTTTATTTCTGAATTACAAGTAGGATTCCGTTATGGGAAGACCTGGGATGTAAGGAAAGAACATTTTGGACTAACAAGGAAAGCCATTAAGCTGGCACTAGAAAGAAGACCAGTGAGTCTGAGGAAGACCAGAGAGTCTGAGGGCTACTGGCTTGGGCAAAAGGGATAGGGTGTTGAGGTGAAGAGGAGTGGTAGTCAGAGTAACATTGTGTCCACTTTTCTAGGCCACAATAAGGAATTTGCTGTGTGTTTTACTTGGAGAAGTAGGGAAAGGGAACAAATGTGAGAATGTGAGTTGGCTCTTGCTGATGTCCAGTTGTGGCATGATAATGGCTTGGACCAGGTTATGTCTAGTAGTGTAGATGGGAAATAGTGGGTGGATCAGAATAAATTTTGGAACTAGAGCAGATACACTTTATTTTATGGAGGTGAGGAATACAGAAAGAGAAAAAGAATTATATTTTCCTAAATTATTTCTAGTTATAGCAATAACTGAGACAGATGTGAAATCTCCAGAAAAAATAATAAATTCCAGTAATTATAAAATTATATCTGGATATGGAATTAGAATATTGGGAGTTGAATACCAACTATTCGATTTACTATGTGGCCATAAGCAAATAATATAATCTGTTAACGTCCATCTTCTATAAAATGATGATAATAAAACTGTATTTATGTGTCTGAAAGAGGTGTTTTGAAAGCCAAATAAAATAAAATCACTGTAATTTTATGGTAATATATTACTGAGTGTTCAGTATATGCAATACATTGCACTGAATGCTTTTATTTTATTCCTTAAACATTCATTATTAGTCCCACTTTACAGGTGATGAAATTTAGGAACAGAGAGATTTAAAAATGTACACATGGTACAAACGACAGATCAGAGTTAGTTCTCATGCATTCTTGAATCTAGAATTTGTGTTATTAACCATTACCTAAAAGGCTGCCTGTTAAGTCCCATAAAGGTTACTGATGCCTAGGAAGTCCTATAAAGGTTACTGAAGTTTATTGATATAAATCATCTTTAATATTATTTGGAATGATAAAAAGGGGAAAAGTGTTTTTATAGGGATAATTTTAAAAATCAGAAGATAAACTATGTATGAGTAAAAGTTCAACTTCTGAAACATGGCTACTTTGTAATGGGAAAGAAAACTGGAATGAAATTATGTGATAAGTTATCTTAATCCTTTCAATAAGAAAAAAAAGATTGACAGCAGTGACAGTATCTGATGCTTATTTGCTATCTCTTACAGCAACTAGCATCTATAAGTCCCTAAATAGGTGTTTGATAAACTCCTACAGAATACCTAAATCTTTTGGGCAATAGCCTGTATATTTCTATAGTATAAATCTATGAAGGGTAAAGCCTTGTCTTTTTTTTTTTTCTTGTCTTATTTTGCTTTCTCTCAAAATGTTTAGAATACTAGAGGTTCATTGAATTTATTATTTATCAAATAAAATCAGCTCTTGCTGCTAGGCACTAATGAGAAGGAACATGAGCACAGATGGTACAAAAGTGCCAATAAGTCAATGGCTATTTTCGTCACTATCCTCATGCAAAGCAATCATCAAATTGTTGAAGCCTGGGGTCCAAATTTGGTTTGAAAAAAAGGATTTGTTCTCGTCTTTCTGTTGTTAGTTTGTTTTCATTTCCTA